GATCCAGCTGAGGACCAGAAGGGCGGTTGGGGGGTGGAGAGGCTTAGCTGCAGACTGTCCCACTGTGAGCTGGAGATCACCACCTGATGAAGCAAAGAGCCTCCACCCCTTCACTGACTCCGCCGGGCCTGACATCTAGGTGATGGAGCAGAGACGTGACCCAGAGCAGTCTGGGTGGACCACCACGGAGACCCCGCCACCGAGGAGTGGTTTAAGTAACCCTGTGACCTCACCGGGCTCCCTCTGCAGAGGGCGTGTTCACTCGCTTCCTGCAGGTTTTACTGGACCTGCATGGACGGGATGGATATCACACCGTGGCACTAAACATCCTCATGTGAAGCTGGAAAACTTTAGAATAAGTCCCAAAGCTGAACTGAAAAATACTCGATTACTTTGAGGGCAGTTGAAGAGCAGAGTCCTCCAAACCACAGGAGCCAATCACAATCCTCCGAATCAGAAGAGTTAAAGCCGTCATTTAACTAGACGAGTTATAAACTCCACGGCCACAGACGGAGCAACGAGAGGGAGAATAACCCATATTTGTGTCAGCAGATTGTTCCCACTTCATTCCCTCGTAAATGCTTGCGGCGCGTGTTTGTTTCTTTTCTTTCACAGTCAATAAAAGAGAGCGTGCGCACGCCGCCGCCGCTCTGTGCGCACGGCGGAGTGATTCAAGAGGGCCAATGTTGAGATTACTTAATGGCTTCCCAGACAGCCGTGGGTCCATAGAATTCAATTTAGCATCTGCCTGTGTGAGCGTTAATCTGCTGCCTCCGCCCGCCGCTGCCGATCATGTGCACACAGGAGATAATGTTTCAGCCTCAGCAGCACAAAGTGGAGCAGACACGTCACTTATTGGCTCCATAATTACATAATTAACTTTTGTCTCTGATCGTTAAGGAGGTAATGGCTCTGATAAAAAGGCCCTCAGCTCGAGCGGCCAGCAAATCAAAAATCAATAATCCATAGCACGGCATCGCTAGCCGAGGAGCGCTCGCGCTTCAGGTAACGATCTGGAGGCTTCGCCGCTTCGCTGATGGATGTTCCTGCAGCTGTGTAAACGCTCGCCTCGGTGCTGCTCCGAGAGGAGGAAACAAGGCCGATTTAAACTGTGCGCTGAAATACAATTATTATTCATTTCATGAATTAAATGAAAATAAATAAAACCGCTTTTATTCATTCAAACAGATTTCTTGTGAGGACACCTGCGTGCTTCTGTCATGCCGTAAAATCACGGCTGGATGAGAGCGGGTGGTTAATTAACTGTGGAGGAAACAGCAAAGCCCCAAATGTCAGGAAGATTTTTGTGAATACGAAAAAAAAGCTGTTTCCCTGTTAAATATGTTGAATTTTCATATTAGACGTAAATGTGGGACAAAGTAGCCAGGTCACCAGGGGTGGCTCTACAGGGGCACAGCTGGGGGGCAGGTGCCTTATAGCTGCCTTAGAAGAGATTATACAATCACCAGTATTAAAATGTTTTTGCATGCAGGGGATTTTCACTTGCTTCCTGCAGAGGTATGTGCCCCCCTTCTGGTCACACAAACAAGAGCACAGAGCAGCTAACAGTGCTTATTCACAGATAATAAGAATAAGAATGACTTTATTTATCCCGAGGGAAATTCTTTTGTAGGGATGGGTACCGGTGTCGGTTCTGACATAAACGGTAGTACTTTTCTATGCTGTGGTGTGCTGGGGGAGCAGCACAGCAAAGAAGGACTCATCCAGGCTGGAGAAACTGATCAGGAGGGCTAGCTCTGTGGTCGGCATGAAGCTGGACACTCTGGTGACAGTGGCAGAGAAAAGGACATTAAAGAAACTGCTGGACATTATGGACAATGCTGGGCATCCTCTGCACACGGCCATAAACAACCAGAAGAGTCTGTTCAGTGACAGGTTGCTTCTCCCCAAGACAAGAACTAACAGACTTAAAAACTCCTTTGTCCCACACGCCATCAGACTGTTTAACTCCTCTCTGGAGGGGAGAGGGAGGAGAAACAGGAGGACAAAGGAGGGGGGAACAACTAAGCTGTAGTGCCTCTTCACCTCACTGTGCAATACCTTTGTAAATAGTCAACAGTGCAATAGACTCAATACTTGAAATGTGCAATTCACTTGTATTTTTATTTTTTATTCCTATTTATTCTATTTATCCCCTTTGTATATTTTATTTATATTTGTCTCTGTATTTATATATGTGTGTGTGTGTGTGTGTGTGTGTGTGTGTGTGTGTGTGTATATATATATAACATTCTGTAACTGTAACTTCGGTCGTTGCTGTGCTTTTTTTTGGAAGTCGAATTTCCCAGAGGAACCCACCCGAGGGATTAATAAAGTTCTATCTTATCTTATCTTAGTAACCAGACCGAAAAGCAGCGCACATTTCGGTGCTTTATTTCGGTGCTTTTTTTCTGAGCTGTGATACACTTCTAGCCAATCATTTTACGTTTCTGAGGATAGTAGGCGGGGCCAGGTACGTACGTTCTGTTAGAGCAGAGCTACAGATTTAAAATGTCCAAGGCGAAGCGGTCAAAGTCTGGCTGTACTTCACAGCAAAAGATGCAAACTCAGCAGCAACAAGTGCTTTAAGCTGATACTGTGATACTGTCAAAGGAGGTAACACCAAGAATCTGATGAAACAGCTGGCTTGCTGCGAGACCTCACACCAAGCGCATCTACTGCGGGTGTGGTGCCTGTTATCTGACGCGGAGTTAGCAACATCCCCCAAAAACCCGAAGAGGAGAGTCCTGGCCCCTAGCCCTGCCAGTGTAGCAGAAATGATGAGGATGATGATGCAGCAGCAGCCGTTCTTCTCTGCGTGAGTAGCTTAATGTTGTTCGTGTGTAATTTACGTTGAGTAGGCTAACCACGTTATTACATTAATGCATGTAAGGTGAACTAGCAAACATCATCATAGCTACATGCGGCTGTCTTCTTGTTTGATGGCAGATGCTCCCTTCACCCTGGCCAAAAAGGCTAAAATGACCAAAGAAAAAGTGGGAAACAGTTAAACATGAGAGGTTTTTGGACAAGTTGATGTTTTTTCCATTGTTTAAGCTTCCAGCCAAGAGTGATGCCATATATGCCCCATAGATGCAGAAAAGGCTAACATTGTTATCTTTTTACAAAAACCAGCTGAGCATGAGAGGTTTTAGGACCAATTTTGTGTTCTCCATTCTTTAAGCACCGTTTGAGCACCGGCACCATTTCAAAAGTACCGATTTGGCACCGGTATCGGATAAAACCTAAATGATACCCATCCCTATTCTTTTGTCATGTACATGCTCAGAGCAGCAGGAGAGACAGAGGAACAGATGAATAAGATATACAATATATACAATATATACAATAAGAATAGTAGTGTACAGTAATATGCAGTAGGATAGTGCAAGACATAGTATCAAATAACTCTAACGAAGTAATATATATAACTCTATCCTGGAGAATAAATAACTGAACTATCAGTGCAGGCGATTCTAGAAAGTGACAGTAATGTGCAATAGAATAAAGGGAGTAGCAGAGTATGATGGGGGATGAAACAAGGTACTGTTGCACGGTCTGAGAGGGAACAGAATAACATTGGTAAGTCTCAGGAAAATCACCTACAGAGTGAGGAAGAGATAAACAGTCTTATTGGATTTACTGTGGCAGTCAGTTCTGCATTTCAGGGCGATGAGTCTTTTGCTGCGTTTGCTCCGATGGTCCATCATGGGGGTGTGCATGGGGTGACAGGGGTTGTCCATGATGGAAAGATAACGAAGAAACATCATCAAAGCTTTTTTTTTACTTCCAAAGAAACCTTTGAGCCATCGATCTTTGAGTCCGTTAGCTCCACACTCATTTCTCCTGGTCAGATTGTCCCCGCAGCTTTAACGATTGTTGGTGTTTGAGCCCACGATCGGTCACTTCCGCTCCAGGACGTGTTCCACTCGACCTTCTTGTTCATGATACCGTTGATTTTCACTAACCTGCCCACGCCTCCAAACCATGCTGGGATCTCTGCTGTGGATGCAGCTGCCACAAAGATCTTTGTGCTCCCTGGAAACTCGGAGGTGTTCCTGGATGTTTGCAGGCCTCAGTAATGACCTCCCAGCAGCTGAAGAACACTCGTCTTTCTGTTCAGGAATCCAAGTACATGAGCTGTAATTTGGCATCTTAGTGAAATAATAATATAATAATCAGCTTCACATTTTGTCACTAAAAATATGATTAAAGGCCTTTCCTTACTGCTGTTGTATTTATTGGAGATGATGTAGAGACACCAGTAATGTGATATTATTACAGGGCAGCTGTAGTATAAACGCGTTGTTCGACTGGGCTGCCCCTCGGCAGGCTTCCTAAAGTGGCCAAGCAGAGGATGGTGGACTTCTATGAATCACCTGGATCTTAAAAGCTGCTCTACTGCAGTTCACGAAAAAAACATGGCGCTGTGGTGAGCTCGGGGAAAAGCACGTTTTAGATCTCACCCTGTATCAACACACCTGAATCAAATGATTAGTTCATTATCAGGCTTCTGGAGAACTTCAAGACATGTTGAGGTCATTTAGCCGTTTTAATCAGCTGTGATGGATCAAGGACACATCTAAATCCTGCAGGACACCAGCCCTCGAGGCCTGGAGTTCGCCACCTGTGGTGAAGAGGCTGACGTTGTTCACGTGTAAAAAAGTGTTTGTGAGGTCTAAACATCTTTCTCCTCCTCAGTGATATCATTGCCCTGTTTCTCTGTTTTTCTTTCCCGCCTCTTCACCCCACTCTCGGCTCATCCTCCTCACCAGCATGTAAGTATGTTTCTGAGATCTCCACAGAGACGAGCGGTCCTACAGATCAGCCGTCTCGCTCTTTAAGTCGATGGAGCTTCAGTCGGAGTGCCCGGAGCGGTACCGTCTTTGATCTCCTGAATTTAACTCTGTGTTTCTCTGACCTCCTCATGCCGCTCGCCGCTCTCTGAAGGGGGTAAGTCGTGTTTTAGTCACCTTTGAGTCCACAGAGCAGCACACCGCACAAAACGCCTTCTGGCATCTCCACCCCGACAGCTCGGCTCACTCTGATATCATTCTCACTCGAGCGTCTGCAGTGTCCGTTCTCTGCTCCGATGCAGTAACTCTGACAGGAAACACAGCAGCGTGTGGACGCGTGCTTCTTTAATCCCGCTTCCTATGAAACCTGGCAGCAGCTCGCCGTCTGCGCTCTCTCTGTTCATTTCATTTTTGAAGGTGTTCTGAGACTTTGTGTCTCCTTCTGGATATTTTGAGTCTATCTGAAGTTTTCTGGGGTAAATAAGGAAGTTTTTGTCTGTCTGCTACAGCAAGTGCAGGTCCACCTGCGCAGACAGCTCACGAGACCCGGGTGCTGTCCTTCGGCAGGCTTCCAGATGTCGGTCAATCAGAAGAAAGTAGGCCTTAAAGAGACAGGAGCAAGGCTTGGAGCTTGTTTCAGTCAGAACAGCTCAGATTTCTTTTGGTGTCTTTGTCATAGTTTGGGCGTGTTTGTGTCTTTTATGGCTGTTATGATAAATAACTGTTCACAGAAGTGTGGCACAAACAGGCCAGGTCCACACTGACATTTACTCTGACCTGTTATTATAAATCCTTGTTTGTCATTAGAGCAGAAGAACACAAGGAAACACAAATATTTGAGAAATCTGTCCCAAGCCTGTTTATAAATAAACATGTCAGAGACGTCCAACACACGGACGTCTCTGAGAAATCAAGCAGAACATTAAACCACTAAAACTGCATTTAATGTTCAGGATGCAACCGAATAAAGTGGCTTCATAATAATAATGTATATTATTATGTTCTAGCATTGGGTCTTGTTCCTGCTGGTGGGTTAGGGCATTACCGAAACATCAAACAGTGATTTTTGTGGACTTTTAGGTTGCTGTATCTGATTCAATTATGGGTTCAGACTGATCAATCAGCAGTTGTTTCCATCACCTTATTTACCCCAGAGTCTTCTGAACTCTCACATCTCCATTATTCAAAGACTGCAACACGTCAAAATTCTGTTATCGATGTGCAGACCTGGAATTATATCGATAAGAGCAGACGCCTAAAACTGACTGTAGAAATAACTCAGTTGTGACTGCTTCAGTCGTAGCGGGTCTCTGCGTTTGACATTTCCACCGGTAAACCTGCGTCCATGACAACGCGGAAGAGCGTGGAAACATGCCGAGTGAGCGTCTCCAAACTGGTATCTGTGGACATTACTGTAATCATACTTACTACTGTCTACACATACAACTCTATCAAACACTCCATATTTATAGATTTATAGAAACGAGCTGTAAATGGGCCAATGGGATCCATCCATGCATCATTTGATGAAGCTAAACTTCCACAGCAGTTATTGAATATGTGTAAACTGCAGAGGGTGGAGCAGAAGGCCTGTCGTTGTCTGAGATAAACTGAGCCTCGTGTTAAATTCTGACTTATCAGCAGGTCATTGTAGATAATTGTAGATGAACAATACCACTGATAACAGCCAGTAACTGCTGGATAACAGCTGGAACGGTGGGGGTCGGGTTAGTCACAGTAAGAGCTGCCTGACTGTGGTTAAGCTACAGATATCACCATCAGAGCAGTATTTCACTGTGATCTGTTCACAGATATAGAATCAGCTCAGAGCAGATGTGTCCGTCTGCTCTCACAGACACTGGTTAGTTAACGGGTTAGCATACGCGCTGAGGTGGTTTAGCAGGTTGCATTTAATGAGAGTGAAGCGTAGAGCAGCTCTGGGGTGTTGCTGGCACTTCTTAGATCAGGCTGAGGCCTCACCTTGATGTTCCTTGGCTCTCAGGACCTCCTGCTGAGGTGGCCTTTACCTGCGATATGAAGCTCAAAGTGCACCTGAACACATAAAAGCAGCTCAACCTTTCAGCGAAATGTCAGATGGCGTGTTTCCGTCTTCCTGCCTTCCTGAAAGTGACGCATAAGTGTTTATCTGTTGTTTGTTCAAAGACGCGCATGATCCAGCAGTCAAACTGAGAGAGCCTCTTCTGATCGTTAGAGGTGATACTGGGAAAGCGTGCGCTTCGCGGCGAGGGCGCTGACAGGACGGCAGGAGTGTGACGACGAGGCGTCTCTGTGTTCTCCAGGCCCGTTTACGGCCCGTTAACTACAGACCCGTCCTTGTAATGAACACCGACTGTCTGCTGTCACAGACCGCACGTTAAATGGCGGCGTGACAGCAAAGAGGGCGTCTGTTTGTCTATGGCACTGACAGCAGCTCCTCCTCTGGGATTCGTTGTGTTAAAGTGTACAAATGATGCTCACGTCCTCTTTACACACTCGCTGCTCAGAGGAAGCAGCGTGGACAAGCATCTGTCAGTGATCAGAGCGCTCAGACTGACACGCTCACAGATTCTTCTTGACTCCAAAGAAATCGAGAACAATAGCTGCTGTTATTGCTGATGGCAGGAAGCGCTCACGCATTGATGTGAGTGCGTAGAAAAGTAACCATGGTAACAGGTAAACAGCTCAAACACAGCCTGAACACAACAAGACAGCGCATCCATCCATCCACCATCCCTCCATCCATCCATCCAACCATCCATCCATCCATCTAGCCATCCAACCATCCATCCATCCACCATCCCTCCATCCACCATCCATCCATCCATCCATCCAACCATCGATCCATCCATCCATTTAGCCATCCAACCATCCATCCATCCATCCATCCATCCATCCATCCATCCATCCATCCACCTGAACATACATACATACATCCATCCATTCAACCATCCATCCATCCACCTGAACATACATACATCCATCCATCCATCCATCCATCCATCCATCCATCTATCCATCCATCCATCCA